CGGTGCTCACTCTCGTGTGACACGGCTGTCTGTGCGCCCGCGGGCGAGTCTCCGGCACCGGGGGGGTGAGGGGTGGTGGGGTGGCTTCGGCGTCCACACGTCTTCCTGGCCTCCCTCCTTCCTTCTCCCTCCCCCAGAGTTCATGAGCACACCCCAAGATGGTGAGCCGGGGGAGAAATGGGACATGGCCCTCAGCTGGTTTGGCTCCCTGTGAGCAGGTGTATTAAGAGTTTTGAGTGGACACAGAGAAGGTGATGAGTAACTCATTAAAAGCCCGTGCCTGGGGGTAAAGTCTCTCAGCTTCCTGCTGGGCTCTGAGGGCTGGATCCTGGGGGCTGAGGGCCCTGATGGCCTGAGCCGGGCTGGGGAAGGATCTGCTGGGAAGGATCCGCTCCACATCCCCCCCCCCCCCGGTCCCAGGGGTCTCCCCTTTCCAGACCAGATCTCCCGATGAGGAAGGGAGGCATTGGCAGGAGGTATCACTCTGAGAAAGAACGAGTCTGTGACGTGGAAGGGGCCAGGTTTGTCAAATGTGATATCCTTTCTGCCCGGGGAAGGTGACCGCCTTGTCAGGACCGGGCCAGCTGTCCTGGAGTCGGCTGCAGGACACCAGCTTGGAGCATCAGAGTCTCGGAGGGTTAGGGCTCTGGCTTCAGCACGTCGATGTGTATTCTGATTTGCTCTTACCTGGAGTCTTTACACACTTTTGTTTTGTCTTTAGGCTCTGAGACTGTGACTCAGACTATTGCTTAGAGTGGAAATAAAAATAGAGAAACAATTTTGAGACTTAATATTTGGTTTTATTAAAAAATAATTATTTGGCTTTAAATCACCAAAAACATAAAGAACCAAAATAAGAGTACAAAGCTCAAATAATGACATTTTTCCTCTAATGGATATAAGAAGGCCCTTCCCACTTAACCTCATATAAATTTCCTTTATACTCTCTATTCTCTTTCCTACAGTGCAGTGAAGGAATGAAATAAAGAATGAATGAATGAATGAATGAATGAATGGTCACCTGCTGCGGTTCCTGAAAAACCAAGGACAGGACAGAAGCCAGATCCAAGAAAAGGAGATAATTTCCACACCTTGACGTGAGACTGAACACCTAAGAGTCCTTCCGACTCATCCCAGTCATGTCCGAGTTCTTGGGTCCCGTGATGTAAATTAATCATTCTCCTTGCCCACAAATGGTGATCGGTTATGTACTTGACCGGATCACTCAATCCCACATATTCCACTTCTGCACGAAAGAGCTGTCCTGGGCCTGGTAGACCTACGTACTGCAAGCAGACTGTGGCTGGTGAACAGAAGCAGAACCTTGGTCCCCTTGATTCTGGGGGAGGCGTGTCCTGATGCTCACCCCTTACTCTTGTTTGGAGGTTATTTCTCAGCCCTGAGAGCAGGTAATGGGGAAACCTGTGTGTTGCCTGAGTGTTCTGGGGGGGGGGCTCTAGCAACAACAGAGAGTGCTCCCTACGTGAACACCAGCCCACCTGCCTTGCACAGAAAAAGTGTAAAATTGCGCTTTGAGCTGTTAACAGGCTCCGCAGCTCATGGGAGAAAAGGCCTTCATCCGTGAAGTCACCAACATGTGACTCAGCACCTGATGAAATCAGGGCAAATCCCATGCGTAGACACATGCGAGCATTGCGCTGGTATTCAGCTTTGCTCAGATCCAAAGGCTTGCTGGGCCTTGTCCTGTAGCGCTGAGACAGCTCCTTGGGTAGGTCCCTCTGGCTGAAACCATTGCTGGCTGGTCTTGTGGTCCATGTCCTGGTTTTAACCCAGCACCCCCTGCAGCCCAGGCGGGGAGGGTGCAGCTCCGTATGGGACAGCTGCTACCACGTTCCTCCATGAATTCGGTTTGGGGCTTGATGTTATATTTCATCCTAAGGCCAACTGTGTTCCATCTTGATACCTCTCTTAAGCCTCAGGTGGATTCCGGAAGGTCATCTGCAAAATCCCACCTTGAAGATGCCAGGATACAAAGTTACAGGCACGTCTTAGAGCATCGCACAGACGGACTCAACGCTGTGCTTGTCCCTCTGAAAGGAACCGTACTTCTAACCGGCCGCTGGCTGGGGTTCCCCGAACTCATGCCCTGCGTCATGCTGTGCGCTAGCAGTTGGGGGAATAACCCACTTACGCTGGCTTACTTCTAACACGGGTAGAGCCGTGGAGCTGCGTGCTCCCTGGGGGACAGAACACCTGTAAACAGGTGCTCACTGAAGGGAACTAAGAAAACGGGAGGGGGGATGCTAACTTTGAACAACTACCTGGTTTAGCACAACCCACCGGGTCGGTGGGCCTTTGCCGGCACCGTGCACGGCATGGATAAACACAGTGAGAGGAGAGGCTTTGGCAGAGCCCTGCCGCACCTAAGACGCTTCTAGAACAGGAACATGATGACTTGGGAATTGTGTGCGGACTATGGGACCACCCGACTTCCCTGCTGAGCCCTGCTCTGCCGTCGGTCAGCTGCGTGACTCTGAGCAAATGACTTAGCTTCTCCCTTGGCCTTACATTCCTCGTCGGCACTTGGGGTGCAGGTTGACGTAATGATCCAAATGAAACGATATAGGCGAAGTTATCATCTTTATGGGTGTAAATAAACTGCCCTTTGCCACGGAGGAAATGGTAGAACAAGAAAAACATCATTTTATAAGAAAATGAATGTTTCAAGTTGTGCACATATTGGTGAATACCGAATCTCTGACTGGGTCAGTGACGTGTTGACTGAGAGCCGATCGACCCCAGACGAGCAGGCTCAGCGCGAGCGGAAGGCCAGCTGCGGTGCCCGCGGGGCGGTGGGCAGGGCATCGCTTCTTCACAGCCGACACGGGCTCCAGGTGGGCCTGGAGGGACAGGCCCCGCTCCAGGCCCTTCTACGTGAACACGTGAGTGCACAGTTCTGCACAGGCCTTCCCTTTCTCTCTATCTTTTTCCTTCTTTTTTCTTTACTGATTTTAGAGAGAGGAAGGGAGAGGGAGAGAGAGAGAGAGAAACATCGATGGGCCGCCTCCTGCATGCCCCCCACTGGGGATCAGGCCCACAACCTGGACCTGTGTGCTGACAGGAAATCGAACCGGCGACCGCTCCGTGCATGGGTCGATGCTCAACCACTGAACCACACCGGCCAGGCTCTTTCTTTCTTTTTAAATTGCTTTGGCCTCTTAGCTGTCCCCTTGGTGGGGGTATGCAGTGCCTTTACTGATCACTGCGGGCTGAGTTTGGGGCAGCGTGGTGACCCTCTGGCTAAGCCATCAACATTCCAGTCCTCCCCTCCGAGCCGCAGGACTGCAATCCCTACCCCTGTGGCGCTGGGTGGACCTCGTGCCTTGAGTTGGCCATTGAAATGGGGGAGGCAGGAATGAGACTCACCTCGCACTTCCTGTGCTTCGGTCACCAAGGGAGCATGTGTGGAAGTGGAAACGATGTCAGGCCCCTGCCACCTGGCGTGGGACTGGGATCGTGAGAGAAGAACAAGGTGTTCGCAGATGAGGTTTGGGGGCTGTTCATTACGGCTGCAGGGGCTAGCCCATCCTGACTAGTCTAGGCAGTGTAGACCAGGCATCCACTCGTGGAGGGACAGGCGTTCAGACGCAGCCAGGTGACACAGGGAACAGCCTCACTGATGCTTAAAAGAACAATTCTGCACAGATAGAAACAGCCCACAACACGGAACAGGCTAGTCTGTCCCGAGAAGTCTCCTGCTGCACCAGGACTTGCCCCCTCAGCGGCCGTCGGGATGGAGAGACAACCCCACAGGTGCTACCTTCATAACCCCTGATTCCGATGATTATCCCTGTCCAAATGAGAATATGCACGGACAACCTCTTGCACGACCACTTCGTACATGTCTCTACCTTGCCAGCTCTCTACCTCCCTACTTCCTTTCCTCCCTTCTTTTCTGAAACATATGAAATGATCGCGTGCCTACTGCATGCCAGGCACTGGGCAGACTTCTAGACGTGCACAGCCGGAGCGCTGTGGCTGGGCCGGGGGGGCTCCCACCGAGTTCGTGGCACAGTCTGGCCTCGATGAGCAAATAGTACTAATATACAACAGTCAGCGGTTCGCCTAAGGTGTTTACAAAATAACCTGCAGGATCACAGATAACACGAGCGACTTTGATCTCAGGTGGCTAAGCCCTAAACTTCGACTCGATCCAAACCCACAAACATCCTAACGAGGAGATCCGCAGTGAGTTCCAGACTTCGTGAGGTCATAGTTCTGGGACTGTGTTGAGTAGGCTGAGATCATGCCATGAAAAGAGAAAAACAAATGACTCAATGCACCGAGTATTTGGGGAATGGATGAGAAAGGCCCATTTCCTTCTGTCCGGCTCAAACCTCGACGCTCTCCACGCTCACGCTCTTCTCTCTGTGGGGACGATCAGCCAGGTCTGGACATGCTGATGGAAACAATCAGAGGACAGACAAGGTCCGGAAACACTTCCGGAGACTCGGGCTGCGGCGGGAGCTGGCAGCGACAGAAACACCTTGCCGGACACTGGGCGTCTGAGCCCCAAACTGACTGATGAAGGATCCACTGCTTTATTTTTACCTCAGTTTCGTCAGTACGTGGCAGAGGCACCATAAATGTGAAGAACAGTGTCGGAATGTGCTTTTTTGTCTTTTTTATTCAGCAAAGCACACTTTAAAAAACAAAATATAAAATCACTCAGAAAGAAATAAAAATCGGTACACACATCACAAAGCCAAGCCACACAGCCAAGTGTCCCTGCTGACAACATAGTCTGGCATTTTATTTCGGCAGGTGGGAGTCACAGACACTCACGGCTTTCGACACGGGCACAGGCTAAGCTTCTCGGCGCTTACGTGAGGAATGTCTGATTTGGGAGAGAGTCTGGAGTTGTAAAACGGAACGGCGTAGAGAACGCAGCCGACGAGCTTAGCCTCTGTTCTCACAGACTGGAGCGCGCTCATCCTGGCCGGGGACGTAGGCAGCCTGTCCGCCCTCGGTGCCCGCCGTCAGTCCGCGTCGGCTGCCCTCTCGGCCGAGGCTGTGCTGGGACCGCGGTGGCTCGGGATGGCGGGGAGCACTCGGCTTGTTCGTAGAGGCTCTCCGGCTAGAACTGGGGTGGGGGACAGAGGGAGACACGTTCAGTTTGCTTCTCTCAGTCCCATGAGGAGCGGTGGTGGGAGAAATGTGTCTGAAGGAGGAGGGGGGCCATGTCTACGGAGCTTGTCTTGGTGAGGGCTAGGCTGAGGCAGAAAGCTGTGTGTGTGTGTGTGTGTGTGTGTGTGTGAGTGTGTGTGTGTGTGTGCCCGCGCGCGGAGGCTGACCACACAGAGTCATGGAGTCATGGATGTCAAATATGCACGACTACGAGCCAGGGCCAAGTGGGATCAGAACACGATGCAGCTGGGCACGCCTGGCACGGCTCTGCCCTGGGCGAGCCCCCCCGGACGGCTGAGTCCGCACCGGGCGCTCACAGGCCCCGGCATTTGTTTGCACTGTGTGTGCTTTTATGCAAACCTCAGCCAGGCTCGGGTTTCTCTTAGGAAAAGCATCCTGTGCCTTTCCATTTCTTTCTCACGGAGCTGAAGTGGACCAGAGATCTTTATCTTCCTGTCCCTGAGTGTGACTGTGCACAGCCAAGTTCCTGAGCCGTGCCGAGGAAACCCCCACTCGGCTTCCCTGAGCCCTGCCAGCATCAAAGGCTGAGTGAATAGAGTCTTTGTTTCGACGTCTCAGGCTAGTTTCTGCTTAGTGACAAGGCCGGGCTTGAATTTCATTCAGTGATCGAATTCACACCATCAGAAACCCTCACTTGGCACCGATCAGGAAGGGCAGGGGAAACGCTCTGTGAAGGGAGGGACCTCGCTGTCTGCTCCTCTTGTGACACATGGACACATCCCTGCACCTCTCCCTTCCCTTCCTGCCAAATGATAGGGTTGCACTAAGACCCCCTGGTCCATGGTTTTTACCTGGAGAGTTCTAGAACATTTGAGTGGTTCCCTCCACACCATAGCCCGGGGCAGAAAAGGCATCTTGGATTTTACTCCAGAAATCACTTGCCAAGTGTTTGCATTCTTTTCTCATTTATTTCTCCCAACAGTATCACCAGGTTGGCATTACTGTAAGAGGGCATGTGATGACTCAAGAATGAGAGGTTAGGGGACGTGCCCGGATGTGAGGGCAGCTCCTAAACCACTTACCCTCTGCGATTAAAGAGGAGTGGAGGGTGTGTGCTGGTGTGTGCACATGTCTGTGTGCCTGTGTATGCATGTGTGTGCATGCAATGCGTGTGTGCGTGTGTGCATGTACATATGTGCATGTCTATGTACATGTGTGCATGCGTGTCTGCGTGTGCACACACATGTCTGTGTGCATGCACATGTCTGTGTGTGCATGTCTCTGTGTGTGCATGTCTATGTACGTGTGTGTGCATGTCTGTGTGCATGCCTGTGTACATGTACATGTGTATATGCATGTCTCTCTGTGTGTGCACATGTCTGTGTGTGCATGTGTGTGTATGTCTGTGTGCATGTGCATGTGCGTGCATGTCTCTGTGTGTGTGTGTGTGCACGTGTGCATGTCTGTGTTGTGTGCGTGTGTATGTGCGCATGTCTGTGTGCGTACCTGGGTATATGTTACAACTGGGTGGCTGGGCTGGGAGAGGGAGGAAAGGAAGAACATCAGGATCCAGGAAGTGCTGGTTTTTCCATGAGGCAGCTGACAGCATCCTAGGGCTTTGCTCTTGGCTCTGTGATTTCTCTGTAAGTAGTGTTGGGTGAATCACACAGCCTCTCTGAGTTCAGTTTCCTCATCTGCATGATGGGGACATGAGAGGGCCTGCCTCAGATTGCAGGATTGCTGGGGGTGTGGCCCGAACTCTACTTTAGAATAAGCACCCCAGGCAATACTTTCAAACACTCAAACATGAAGTTCACTGGCTGAATAGAATCTACTGCTATTTTATACTGTGAGACAGTTTTGTATACAGTGTAACAAGTCAGCAATGCCAAGGCAACACTGAGGGACAGATCGACTCAATTATTCTCCCCTGCGTAGCAATGCACAGCCCGTGCCCACAAAGGTGGCAGACACCCCGCTCTGCTCTGTCCATCACAGTAAGGAGACCCATCCTAAGAGAAGGGTTTTTAAACACGTTTAAACATGTTGAGTAGTACACAGCAAAATAAACTCTGTTTTAGTTTTTGTAGCCCAGGCAGAAAAATTTCTCAAGGGAAGGAGTAACCTGCTTTTTAAATAAGTGTTACCCAGCCGACGACGCTTTGTGTACTCCAGTCTCCCATAACTGACCCTTTGGGTGCTCATGCCAACTTGAAAAATGATAGTAAGTGGAAGCAACCTTCAGTTGTGTCCCAGCGTGTCAACGCTTGCTGTGGAAGCGGAATACTATTGATAATACTTACATTTTTGGTCTGCCAGGGGAGCCAGGCTGTTGCGAGTGAAAGGAAGATCCCCGATTTTGGGTCTGTTTGGGGAGAGATGCTGAAAATTTTGTCCTGGGGAGAAACATATTTGCATCAATCATTTAAGACTCAACCAAATGCAAAGCAAAACATCCAGTGAAAAAAAGAATCATAAAAACTGTTAGAGAGCATACATTTAAGGCGCTAACAACAGAACAACAACAACACAATAATAATAACCACACTCAATTACATTTCTATTATATGCCAGTCACCTTAAATGAAAGGAAAAAGGTAGCAAAAGTCATTTCTGGCATGAGCTCGGTTAAATAAAAGTTTATGAACAAGCCCAGTCGGCCATCACCCTATACATAAAACTTAAAAGTTTGAGAAGTAAAATAGGGCGCAACCTACTACCCTGTCTGTGAGATGAGGGGGTGCTGAGTAGGGCACCTTCTTCTCCAGCCGTGTTTCCAGGCCTGGCTGAGGCCTTCAAGGAACACTGGGGCCCTCCCCAAGCCCCAGGTGGGTTCAGTGAGTGCTGGGGGCCGGGACAGCTGGGACTGCAGCCAGGTCGGACGGCCACCGCCCGAGCACATGGTGGTGCTGACAGCCTGGGCTAATGTGGACTCTCAGCCTGAAGCCACCTGCGCTGGCTCTCGGGAGCCTGCGGGCAATTCTCAGGAACCCGGGAGCGGTTGGCATCGTGCTGGTGGCTTGCCATGGCCACGGTGGAAGTATTTACACCCTGGAAATGGGCAAGCGCTGACGTTTCTCCTGAAGGCTAAGCTGGTAAATATCTGGCGACAAACTACTGGTTACCTGGAAATAGAAGGGGATACACAAGTTGTTGAAGTCCATTTTAGTTATTTATTGTTTTAAATCCTCACCCGAGGATAGTTTTCCATTTATTTTCAGACAAAGTGTGAGGGAGGGAGGGAGGGAGAGAGACATCGATGTGAAAGAGACACTTCAACGGGTTGCCTCTCGCACAGCCTCGACCAGGGCTGGGAACTGAAGCGCAACCAAGGTCCGTGCCCTTGACCGGAATTGAACCCGCAACTCTTTGGTCCGCAGGCCGACGCTCTAACCGCGGAGCCACACTGGCCAGGGCTGAAGTCCATGAAAAAGTTGGCCAGGTGGTGTGATGAGCAGGAGCTTGGGCTCTGGGGTCGGACAGGAACAGGCCGATGCCCAGCGTGGGCAGTGATAGTCCCCGTCCAACCCTCGATGTCCTCCATGTGAAATGGTGACAAGACCGAACATCTGTCCTTTCCAGTTGCCGTGGAGATGAAGCAGGGGAACGAGTAAAGAGCATTCGGTGCCAGGGCAACACCCTGAACACCAGCAGTGACCGTGGTTTCATCGCGGTGCACATACCGGTCTTTGCCTACAAGTCTACTGGGAGCCAGGTCACTGTGGCCGCCCTCGCGGGTTCACGTCATTTGTCCGGGCAGAGTGGTCCTTAGAACAGGAGTGGGGGAGGGGCGGATCCACCTGTCCTCCGTGGCAGGGAGTCCCCTGGGACAGCTGCAGGCCAGCCCTCCCAGTTGCGTCATTTGGTGACGATCGAACAGTTTCCCTTCTCCTTGGTGGACATTTGCCATTATATTTTTATTCCTTTAGACCTTGAAGGTCAAATAACTTCATCAGCCATTATTTAAAAAACAGAACAAAATCCTTCCTGAGTAGAATTACAGTCAAACCCATATCAGTTCATACCGTTAATGATCCATGAACATTTGAGCAGAAATTCGCAAAACCCAGAACTGACAGAGTGACAATTATGGGTATTTGTTAAGCACTTACTGTTTTATAAAAACGGCTAAATATTGTAGGCGTACTGTCATGTAACCTTGGCAGTCACCGTCCCTGGGAGAGACACTGTCATCGTCATCATCGTCATCGTCATCGTCGTCAACATCATCACCGTCGTCATCATCATCATCACCGTCATCATCATCATCACCACCGACACTGGAGTTCTCAGAGTGGTCAAGGTCACATCCTCGAGCCTGGGCTCCCACTCAGGCCTGTCTGACCCTAAAGGTCAAGCTGCCCGTCCTTCCCAGGAGCTGCCGCAGTGTTGGTAGGCGGGGGGGAGGGCAGGCGGGCTGTGGCTGTGCTGTGGGGTGAGGGGGAGGGGCAGGCGGGCTGTGGCCGTGCTGTGGGGTGAGGGGGAGGGGCAGGCGGGCTGTGGCCGTGCTGTGGGGTGAGGGGGAGGGGCAGGCGGGCTGTGGCCGTGCTGTGGGGTGAGGGGGAGGGGCAGGCGGGCTGTGGCCGTGGTGTGGGGGGGGGGGCAGGCGGGCTGTGGCCGTGGTGTGGGGGGAGGGGCAGGCAGGCTGTGGCCGTGGTGTGAGGGTGAGGGTGAGGGGCAGGCAGGCTGTGGCTGTGGTGTGGGGGGAGGGGGAGGGGCAGGCGGGCTGTGGCCGTGCTGTGGGGGAGGGGGAGGGGCAGGCGGGCTGTGGCCGTGGTGTGAGGGGGAGGGGGAGGGGCAGGCGGGCTGTGGCTGTGGTGTGGGGGGAGGGGGAGGGGCAGGCGGGCTGTGGCCGTGCTGTGGGGGAGGGGGAGGGGCAGGCGGGCTGTGGCCGGGGTGTGGGGGGAGGGGCAGGCGGGCTGTGGCCGGGGTGAGGGGGAGCGTAGTGTCCCGGACCCTGGCCGTCTGCTCTGTCTGAAGGACGGGGTGGAGCTGTGCACAGCCCATGGCCCTCTTTCCTGTCCCGCAGGCCGCTGGGTGCTCAGCTCTGGGCACAGGGTCAAGGAACAGTGTCCCAGAATGAGAAGGCAGGAGAGGTTTCCCCACTTACGCGTAAGAACCAGAAGTGAACGGAGGTTCCTCATCGTTAAAACCTGTAAATTCAGCCCTGGCCGGTTTGGCTCAGCGGTTAGAGCGTCGGCCTGTGGTCCGGAGAGACCCGGGTTCGGTTCCCGCTAAGGTCATGTACTTCGGTTGCAGTTTGTCCCCGGCCCTGGTTGGTCGTGCGGGTGGCAGCCACTCGATGTGTCCCTTCACGTCGATGTTTCTCTCTCTCTCTCCCTTCCTCTCTCTCCCTCCCACTCTATCTGTACAAAAAATGGAAAAATATCCTCGGGTGAGGAAAAAAAAAAAAACCTGTAAATTCAGCTCTCCTCGGTCACGTGTGGCCGAGTCCCTGAGGCAAGGTGCCCGGGGAGCTCACAGTGCATGCCGGGAGGGACGAGGGCCTGGTACCTTGAGGCCCCTCAGTGCGGTGAGAGCATCAGAGGAAGAGGGTCCAGAGACCTCACTTCCTCCAGCTCTGACCTTGGGCAGGGCGCTGACCTCTCTACCCGCCCTCCATTTATCTCTGGAATGGGCCAAAACTCCCCGCTGCAGGGAGCTAAGGGAAGAGCTACTCACGGCCTCAGAGGAGGCTCAGCTAGGTGGCCCTGTCCTTTCATTACGAGCGGAAGCAAAGGTCACTACTCCTACAGAGGTCAGAGGTCACGGGGACTTTTCCATCCAGGAGAGTTTTGAGCTGGTTCTTAAAAGAGTATAGGGCCCTGGTCGGTGTGGCTCAGTTGGTCTTGTGCACCAAAGGGTCGCCAGTTTGATTCCCGGTAAGGGCACATGCCCAGGTGGTAGGTTTGGTCCCCAGTTGAGGTGCATGTGGGAGGTGGTCGATCCATGTTCCCCTTCACATCGACGTTTCTCTCCCTCAAACAAAGGCGTCACGAAGGGAGAAGGCACAGGCCACAGAGGGACTGAGAGACGCTGGAGGAACTGTTCCGGGGACTGCGGAGGGGCAGCTGGGCAGGTGCAGGGGCGAGGGCGGGAGGGAGGCCAGCCACGTGGGGGGCTCCCCTCTGTCCCGGGCAGGTGCAGAGCCCCTGATGGGAGGGAACGAGGGCGCACAGGATCAGACCATGTGGGCGGAGAGAGCGTTGTTGCTGGGGTGGCCAAGAAAACTCTGGAGAAGGAAGTTCTCTCTTGAGAAAGTTCTCACTTTCCTTGTGACCAGGCTTGTGCAGAACCAGGCCGGCGGCCAACGCCACAGAGCTTCTGTCACGCCACAGAGCTTTCTGTTCCATTTTCTCTGGACGCGCTCGCGGTGTCGGCTCTGACCCTCACCAGGGCACGGCTGCCTGGCGCTCCCTGCCTGGCACACGACATCTCGCGAGGGCCAGGACGCACCACTCCAGCTACAGGCTCGGCTGCTGGTGCAAGCCGGGGCCGGGGATCCGCTCCCCGAGGCAGCAACTCGAGCCGGTGTTATTGCTACTGAACGCGGGGCCAGAGGCCCCAAGCCCTGTCCAAGCTCCAGCCAGGCTCGTAGGCCCAACTGCGCTAGCACGTGCTCTCCCCCACCCGGGAGCTCGGAGCGGCGCCCCGCGCTCCCGCCGCCAGACCCATGGAGCTGCCAGCCACCCTCGGAAGTCCCCAGCGTAGTCCGGGAGCCTCGGCGGGTCTCAGATCACCACTTCACAACGGTGAGACCTGTCACGAAAGTACAATCCACAGGCAGGGAAGTCTTTTCCTTTCGGGGGAGACGCTATAATCTCTGAGAAAATCGCACTGTGGGTCCTTGCTGAGCGTCCCGACAAACCGGACTTTGACATTCCAGAGACTTCCTTGCCACGGCTACAGCTTCCTGTTTGGGAGATCTGGGTTCGAGTTCTGAGTAGGGCAGTGACGGGGTTGCAGCACTTGGAGCAAACTGTGTTCACTTTTCTAGGCCCCGTGATCATCCCTGGGAAGGCCCATGAGACCAAACGGTCCCAGCGCTGATCCAGAGGGTGAAGAACTGCGGCCCGGGGAGATGCGTCTGCTTTATGGATCAGCGCTCGTCCAGGAAGACGGAGCCCTCGCTAAGTCTTTGAGACAGGAGTCATTTTTCATACAAAAAATTGGTTATACTGGTGCGAGAAATGCTGAGAAGCCCAGCACAGCCCAGGGTAGAAGGGTGACCCGGACATGAGTCACAGCAGGAAGTCACCAGCACCTTTAGGCTGGAGGGTCAGGGGAAGAGATGGTCTCACCAAGGCCAGGAACATGTTAGAGCCAGCCCCACAGAGGGCGGGGCTGCGAGAGGGCGCTGGGGGGGGGGGCAGGGCCCCCCGTGGGAGATTCCATAGCAAGCAGACGGATGCTCTGTAGAACCACATGGCTCCTCTCTCCCCCCTGCTCCTCCTTCCCACCTGTGTCTCTGGGTTCTTGGCCCAAAGTACGGGGAAGCAGCTGGCGAGGGGGCTGGGAGGGGCAGTTCCTGGAGATTCTGCACAGAGCAGCAGGGGACGACCAGGTCCCGGGCATCGGGTCTGCAGTCAGTCCACAGGGCATCGGGCCTGGCCCAGGAGAAAATACCAAGTGTGTGTCCAGTATTGTTCAAGTCACTGCTCTAAGTCCTTCACATGCGTCAGCGAATTTAATCGTCACAGCGACACCCACTCGAGGACTCTGGTTCCTCCCGTCTTTCCTGAGGAGGAAAGAAAGGCTCGAGAAATAAGTAACAGAAGTAGGTGGAGAGCCAGCACCTGAACCCAGACAGTGTGGCTTTGAACCATTAGCCGCTGGAGATGCTGCCTCTTGATACATTAGGACACTTAATAGCTATTTCATGAATGAGAGAATGACTGAGGTTCTTCCCATGAAAACACCCTATGATCTTGCACTGAAACAGGAGAAGGAAATCAGGTTGAAGTCAGATACGCAAACATTGTAGCAAATCTGTATCCCTTAAAGCTCGTGAACAGGCTGCAGACTGTTAGGAGGGTTCTCTTAATCATGACTCAGTTGCCTCCAATGGCTGCTAGTTATCCGCGTCAGAAACAGTGGTGGAGAAAAATAAATGCTTCCATACGGGAACACTAGTAATTTCAGACTCCCTTGGAGGATTCGATTTCTCCTTTTCTGCTGTTCGACCCAGGAGTCTTCAAGTTGCTTCCGTGGAAAAGTGAAGCAAATCCTCAAACCACATTGATTGCGGTTCCTTCTACTTCAGATATTGTGGGAGGTTTTAGAAGGCACACGTAACAGAATCCGGATTCTCTAGCCAACGCCTGCCCTCTGTTCTCTGTTTTGGATGGACAGCCATGTGCCCGGCTAAAGACCACAGTTCTCAGCCTCCCTTGCAGCTAGGTGTGGCCATGTGCCTGGAGTTCTGACTAATGCCACACAAGCAGGCGTGCGGGACCTGATGGGAGATGACTCCTGATGGAGCTGATTCAGCTGGGGGAGGTCATTGTTCCCTCTCCTTACTTCCTCCTGTGAAATCCACTGGCAGGGAGGGAGCCTGGGTCTCCGGTGGTCACGGAGGCATTGACACCCCAGGAACAACCTGCCTCACCTTCTTTCACCCCAGACCAATGAACTTCTGTGTTGTTTGAGCGACTGTCCCTTTGGGTGTCTGTTCAGGTAGCTGAAGCCACTGACTTCGAAGGTAGAAAAGACAACCCAAGGCTGTCTTGGCGACAGAAAAAGAACAAGACTTTCAAAAATTTAAAAAGATTTCCAAAGAGAAAGTACTAGCAGGACAGGACCGACTCCAGGAAGCAGGCTGGGTCGAGCCCTGGGACCACCGGTGTCAAAGATGACAGACCCCCCCTTCCCTTCCTGCCACAACAGCAAAGACATGGCCCAGGCCACCGGCCAGACGCCGCAGTGCTCGGTGCGGGAAGTAAGCGGACTTCTCCCCAGACACCAGGCGATAGCTTTCGTGTGCTCAGCCACGTCTGTCCGCGTGGGTGAGGGAGCACGGCCACGTCACAGGCGTCACACACCAGGCACACGCAAGTGAGTGCGGAAGCCAGGCTCACACTGCTGTGGGGGGAACACAACGTCCTCTTGGTCTTTTGTGCCGCTACTTTGAACAGAAATATGGGTTCAAGAATGAATGGTGCCCCTCACGCTGCTGTGAGAAAGACAACCCAGCCCTGGCCGGTTTGGCTCAGTGGCTGGAGCGTCGGCCCATGGATCAATGAGTCGCGGGTTCAATTCCGGTCAAGGACACGTACCTCGGTTGTGATTCATCCCTGTCCCTGGTTGGGTCATGCGGGAGGCAGCCACTCGATGTGTCCCTTTCACGTCAATGTTTCTCTCTCTTGCTCTCTCTCCCTCCCACTCTATCTGAACAAAAGTGGAAAAATGTCTTCGGGTGAGGATTAAAAATATAAATAAATACATTTAAAGAAAGAAAGACAACTCAGCAGCACACTGATGAGAACAACTACTCAACAGCCGGTCAGCTGGGCCCGACCGTGGATCGTCCGTCCACGTGGTGTCCAACGGGCACGTGGACCCTCACATCAGCCAGGTATCCCCAAGTGAGAATTTGGGTTCAGTCTTGACAGATTTTTCAATTTCTCAAGAGATGCTAGAATTTTGGATTTGGGGGTAAAACTTCATGATTTTTAAATATCAGTGACAATCACTTGGGAATAAACATGGTGCGGTGGTCGAAAGCCCATCTTGGTGCTCCAGCCTCTTAAATGAGGATTTAAATAATGGTAAATGTCAGCGTGCAAGGGGGAACACACACACATCTACTCGTATGCATGGGCATTCTTTAGCGTGGCACATTTATTTAAAGGGGGATATAGACATAGTGCACATAAATACATGTGTGTGCATAAAATATCTCTGGAAAAGAAACGGAAGTTAGCAACACTGATGACGCTGAGGGTGAAGGGGGTGAAGGGTGCGAGGCGACGAGGACGAGGCCGGAGGGAGAACTGCCCCCCGGGGGCGTGTGGAGCCTGGAGTGTGGAAGTGGGACTGCGCCCCCTTTCCGCGTGGGAACATCGGGCACTGGAATGCGGACGGCCCCTCTGGCTTGAAAACAGTCACGCAAACAAACCCAGCCCTCAGAATCGCCCACCCACATCCCCACCCACCGCCGAGAATCCGGCTGGCGGCTGGCGCCATGTCCCTGCCCTGACATGCTGGTCACCCCTCAAGGCTGGGAAGGGGAGAAGACGAGTTTTACTCAGCATTGCTCTCAGGGGAAAGGCAGCCTGTTCCACAGCCTGCAGTTCCTGACCCCGGTGGACGCAGGGACAAAGGGGACGGGATGCCCAGCCTGTCCTGGCCCCTGCCCTCTGGGCGCTGACACTCTGCTTCCTCCTCCGAGGAGACAGGCCTCCAGAGAGCTGCCCGGAAGGACGGACGGACGGACGGACGAGGAAGCGGAAGCAAGGCCCTTACCTGAGGGTGGGCTGTGCAGATGAGGAAGGTGTGGAGGCCCCGAGGCGGCCCAGTGCCTGGACGTGCCGGTGAACAACCTGTCCAGCAGCTTCTCGGGGGAGGGCCCGGTCCACGCCTTGGGGAGGCCCTGGCCGGAATGCCCTCTCCAGGGGTGGTCCAGCAGGGCCTGTCTGCCGGTCCCGTGGTTCAGTAAGTCCTGCTCACTCTGGGTTTTCTGAGATCTCGGGGTCACGAGCTGGGTACCAGGGCCCAGGCCAGCCCGGGGGGCAGCCCCGTGGGAGGCCCTCAGGAAGTTGTTGCCCAGGGTGATGGGCGGGAGGCTGTGCGTTCTGATTGGTGGAAGCCCCTGCCGGGCCAGAGGCCTCCTCTCCGCCAAGAGGTATTTTGAATTCCCTGAGGTCTTCTTTGTGAAGTTGACCATAGCCACCTGGTCCTCAGGCTGTTCTTGGCAGTCGGTCTCCGCGATGCTGTCAAAGGTGGTGATGATGTCATCGACTTCCGAGGTGGGCTCCCCCCTGAGCCCGTCCCCTCCGGGGTCCTTCGGAGAGGCCCGCCGCTCATCCTTCCTGTTTTTGCCAAAGATCTGGTTGAGCACGCCGAATCGCCCCTCCTTCTTGCGGGGCCTGCTGTTCTGGGAAGGAGGGGGTCGAGCAGGCTCTGTCCTGTAAGAGAACAGGATGGACAGGAGGTTAGCGAGTCCCGGCCACCTGCTCGGGCAGGCGTTCCAGACCCACCGGACACCCGAGAGCCCTCCCTGGTCTAAGGCGAGATGTCAAAACTCCGGACCCACAACCAGAGCAGCGATTCCCAGCCCGCCTGTGGCAGAATTTCTACAACACACAGCATCCAAGGCAGGGAGCTGGCCTCCCCTCCCTTAGACAGCACATGAGAGACAGCGGCCAACACAGCAATAGCCGTAGGTGTGAATGGATCAAAATTGGGCCTATGTTTGGTCAGAGAGGCAGAAATAGAATCCATTTTGGTGTGCCTTGGAAGTTGAGCGATCCGTGTCGTGAGACGGCAAAGGGGGAAGCTCGCTGGTCCAGGCAGAGGGGCTTCCATGACCCCGCCTGCGCTCTCCCAGGGGGACATGTCTTAGCTACTGTCGCTCGTTCCCCAGAGCCGGCCTTTCGAAATGTAGCCCTGGACGGTCTGTTTTCACCAGGGAAATCTACGCGGGACGGGCTGCGAGGGGAGCTTTCGGTCCAGGTGACCAGGCCGAGCGCCTGGTCCGGGGGTTAAAACGCTATTCACGATAATGTCAAGATGCGACGATCTTCGTCACAGGGCTGCTCTTGTCAGGGGGTGAAGCTGGGCTGGTGGGGCCTCCGGACACGGCACCAATACACTCGTGCCACCAAGGCTGTCCCCAACCGTAATCACGTCCGGCGAAGGCTGTCACTTTTATTAGGTATCGACCCTCAAGTACACGCTTTCTGACAAGAGGAAGTGCTCATGAGCAGTCCGCCTACATGCTCAGCTCTGACGGCTGTTCTGAGGGACAGCCCTCGCCGGCGCACCTGACACATGTGCAAGGGACGCCATTCTCACGACTTCCAGACACTGGGTGGTTGTTCTGAGCGGGACAGCCACAGAGTTTCTCAAAAACGAACAGAGTGAGCCCGTTGTTTCAAGCTAAACGATCATAGGAATTGTTGCCAGCGACAAAAGTCTAGCTCGAGCAAACATTTGGATTCTGGGAAAGGTGGCCACGCTGTGAGCTCGCTGGCCCCCCACGCAGAAGGCCTTTCGGGCGGTTTCCGCGCTGATATGAGCCAACGAGAGTTTTTCAGTATCGTATGATGAAATGTGTCCTTTGGAAGATACTCGAAACTAAGTGAGCAGATACTTTCCAAAGGACCAGGGCAAGGTATTACAAAGTCACGCGTGGGGACGAAAGGACTTGACTGAAACAGAGTCGGATGGCATACTGGTTTGGTGACAGTCACACTGCCTCTAACCTGTAGGAACACCCAGTGGTGTCACACTCAAGTATTCACCGTGATCTGAAAGGCTGCTGAGGGAGTTCCTCGTCTAGCGAGATGCTTCTGTGTGGACTGACTGTGTACACGCTCGTCCACCACACGGAGCCCACGGAGCCCACGGAGCACACAGAGCACATGGAGCCCACGAAGCACATGGAGCCCACGGGGCCCAAGAAGCCCATGGAGCCCATGGAGTGCACAGAGCCCACGGAGCCCACGGAGCCCACGGAGCCCATGGAGCCCACGGAGCCCACGGAGCCCACGGAGCCCACGGAGCCCACGGAGCCCATGGAGCCCAGGGAGCCCACGGAGCCCATGGAGCGCACAGAGCCCACGGAGCCCATGGAGCCCACAGAGCCCACGAAGCCCACAGAGCCCATGGAGCCCATGGAGTGCACAGAGCCCATGGAGCCCACGGAGCGCACAGAGCCCACGGAGCCCATGGAGCCCACGGAGCCCACGGAGCCCACGGAGCCCACGGAGCCCATGGAGCCCACGGAGCCCACAGAGCCCATGGAGCCCACGGAGCTCACAGAGCCCATGGAGCCCACGGAGCTCACAGAGTGCACGAAGCCCACGGAGCGCACGGAGCCCACAGAGCTCACAGAGCCCACGGAGCGCACGGAGCCCACAGAGCTCACAGAGCCCATGGAGCCCACAGAGCTCACGGAGCCCACGGAGCCCACGCAGAAGCAGTAGGGATCTAGCTGGACTCACGGAAACTTCTGTTAGATCGAACCATGATGCTCTTCTCATTACAATAGCATCACTTTCTGTTTTGAATAACAGATTAGTTCAACTAATAGTATGGCATTTATGTTACCATGTAAATATAAAGGGTTTATTATTACTTTTAAAGGAACAACTAAATAAATATTTCACTATAAAGTCTCAGTTCTCATTTTTAATGCCATAAATAGTGATTGCGGTAACTCACATGAACAAAAGCTCTCTGGGGCTCCCCATAATTTTTGAGAGTGTGAAGGGCCCTAAGAATAAAAGGGTTGACAGCTGCTGCTTAAGGAGAATAGGTTGAGACAACCTGGCGTCAAGGGAAGAGGAAAGGGAGAGTTTGACGGCCAGTAAACGGCTCTGGCCAGCGTGGCTCAGGTGGTTGGACGCTGGCCTGTGCACCTAAAGGTCACTGGTTCGATTCCTGGCGAAGGGTGTGCGGGAGGCAGCCGATGGATGCTTTGCTCTCACATTGATGTTTCTCTCTCTCTCTCTCCCCCTCTTCCTCTCTCTCTAAAAATCAATTTAAAAAATCTTTAAAAAAATACAGACAGGCCCTGGCTGGTTTGGCTCAGCAGTTAGAGCGCTGGCCCACGGACCAGAGAGTCCCCGGTTCGGTTCCCACTAAGGGCACGTACCTCAGTTGCAGTTTGTCCCCGGCCTCGGTTGGGGTCGTGTGAGTGGCAACCAGTCAATGTGTCTCTCTCACATCGATGTTTCTCTCTCTCCCCACCCCCCACCTGCTGTATCTGAGGATAAATGCAAAAGTGTCCTCGGGTGAGGATAAAAAAACACACACAGAAAGGCCCGTGAATGTCGACTAGATGGGCTCACCCTCACCGCGACCACGTTGCTCCAGAGCCAAGCACACGTCACTCTGCTTCAATAACAGCAAACACCGTCATCAACTTACTGCTGGTTTTGCCCCTCGGAAATTTAGCACATTTTATCCAGTTCGATCAATCTTTGAAAGGAAGAGAAAAGCAGGTGTCCCTGCCGCGCTCACCTGCTCTCCTGGGAGAGGAGCTGGGCACAGGCCTCGTGGCCGCAGTACAGGGCGTAGGCCAGGGGGGCGCTCTCGTTGACGTCGCGCAGGTTGCTGTCCACACCCAGGTCCAGCAGTGACCGCACGCACTCCACCTTCCCTGCAGCCGCCGCCCAGTGCAGAGGTGTCCTGGAACCGCGAGGAGGAACAACACAGGCGCTGAGCACATGTGCGGGACAGGCGGCTTCGCGGGCGTGGGAAGACATGTTGCTGTTTACTGCGGAAACCGTGTGTGTTAAAGGGGCCTCGGGTGATCGTGTTCTTGTGGGTGGGCCTCTCTGCTAGTCTAAATGTTCCCCAGCCTCCCTTTTTTTCTCTGGCCTTCCGGAGAATTTCCTAGAAGAGGAAGTTGTGGGTCAAAGAGGATGACCAATGATGAAGCTCTTTATGCTTCATGCCAAACAGCCTTCCAAGAAGCCTGACTCAACTTACCCTCTGACCAGCTGGGTCCCGAGTCCTTTAAAATCTTTGCCAGTTTGGTAGGCAAACTGGCAAGATGATACTTCACTGTTGTTTTCTTTTATATTGACTTAGTGGTGGGGTTGAACTTTCGAAATACATGTTTATTTTTCATTTGAGTTGCTTCCTTGACGTGACTCAATGAACTCTGCCCCTTTTCTCTTAGATTGCTGGCTTTTCTTACCAATTTTTATGGGCTTTGTACCTGTGAAATGTATCACTCTTTTATAGGATATGCTTATGCAAATATTTTCTCTAGTTTTTTACTTGACTTAAGTTTTTAGTGATTTCCCATACAAATTTTTAAAATATACTCAGATTTAACTACCTTTTCATTTTTTGTTTCTTTCATGATTTATGCTTAGAAAGTCCTGGCTGCAGAAGGTAAATAAACATTCATCAGTATTTAAGGCTTTATTAAAATGCAAAACCAGTGTTTTCTTAGTAAAATGAAAAAAATAAAAGCCAGACTTGGAGAAAATACTTGCAAACGCGTCTCCACCGAAGGGCTTCTATTCAGACTGTATAAAACCTATCATAACTAAGTAAGAAAATACACAAGCCCTTTTTACAAATGAGCAAAAGATCAGAACAGACACATCACCAAAGAAGATGCATGAGCGAGTGGTAAACAGACACACAGGTGCTCAATGACGCTTGAAATCAGGAAAATGCAAATGAAAACCACAAGGAAATACCAGTACATGCCTATTCAAATGGCCACAATTAAAACCAGAAAACCGAGGATCCCCTGGCACGGCCAAGTGCCAGTCAGGACACGGAGCAGCTCCCACTCGGACACACTGCTGGTCGGGCTGCCAAACGGTAACGGCCACTCTGGAGAACAGCGGCCAGTTCCTCGGCAGTTAGACACGCTCACCTGTGAGCATGCGGCCTCACCTCTGGAGACCAGGTAGCCAGAGGAAGGAGAAGTGTGCGCGGGAACACCTGGGCGTGAATGTTTATAGCAACATTATTCATAATTGCCCCAGACTGGAAACAATGTAACACCCTTTGCCAGGAGAATGCATCAGCAAACTAGTTCATCCGCCCAGCGGAGTGAATCTCAGCCACCGAGACCAGCCTGCGTGGACCCCACCGAGGGATCTCGAAGCAGCCTGCTGACCTCACTAGTCCCCGAAGAGTTACACGCTGGCCGCTTGCAGGCACGCGGCGTCCTGGAAGAGGCGATCCGCACGAGGGGCCGTCGGTGCCAGAGCCTTGGGTGAAGGTTATACGCAGACGGCCTGCGCCGAAGATGGAGCTGCTCCGAACCTGTCTGTGGTGGTGGCGTGAGTCTATACACGTGCTAAATCTCATAACTGTATACCAAAAAAGGTACACTGGACTGATGTAAAATTTTTAAAAATCAACGTTTTCTTCTGTATTTATTCGTGTTTAAAAAAATTGCACATGGCTTGTACGTGTTGGTATGTGGGTGAGGTGTGGAGCCAAGCTGACTGTTTTTCCGATGACAGAGCCAGCTTTCTCAACACCCCTCATCAGTGTGGAGGGCTCGCACTGGGTCCTGACCCACGCGAGACTCTGCCTCCTCTCTCCCCCTGCAGAAGGTGTGTGCTGCTGCCCGCTCAGCCTCGGGGCAGGATGAGCAGGAGAATCAGACGAACACCGTCCTTCTGCTTCCAGAGCCAAGCCGGACCTGACAGCAGGTCTGCAGCGGTGTCCCCAGGGGCAGAAGGACCGCCCTCGGCTGTCCCAGCGCAGGCAGAGGAGCAGCAAGGACCACTGGGCCCAGAGCAAAGGGACCAGAACTCGCTTCCCTGGCTGAGCTCCGGGAAGCAGGGCAAGGACGTCTGTGCGGCTGTCCCGCCAGTGGGACCCCAGAAGGTGAAGGGGGGCACGGGGAAGAGGGCCTTCCTGTAAATGGGGCTTCCCATGAAGAGACTGGCTGGTCTTCCTGTCAGTGGCTGAGCAGGATCAACCCTGGAGAAGGGTGAGCACGGGCAGGCTCTCCTTGCTGCCCGCGGGGGCCTCGCCTGGCCCCTCGGTGTTCTTGGGCGGGGCAGTAGGGCAGGAGGAGCAGGGCCCAGCTGGGCTCTCCGTGAAGGGGCTGGGGACTCAGTGTCGGGTGCAGCTATGCCCCAGTGTCCAGAGTCCCCGTGTGTAGGTTGTATACCCCGTCCACCAAACGCCCTCCGCCATGGGATGCTATGAGCAGCAACTTGAGAGCCCTGAATAGGACCATCTGTTTTGTCAGTCTGAATGCGTGGCAGGTATGATGTACCGGCCTCACCTGAACAAGGTTGGCGAGGCTCTGTGAGGAAGCGCTGAGGGCTGACTACCCCTGAAGGGTACCGTGTCGAAAGCGCTCTGTTCAGAAGACAAGGTACAAGCCTTGGCTTATTTGCTGATCACATGAGAGAAGTCTCCAGACAATATTTATTATGAAACTAGATGGGACCCCGGCCAGATCGCCTCCTCATGTTTGGAGAATGTATTGCCAATAAATGCAGTCGGAGGATTGGACCACAGTCCAGCCAGATGGGCTGACACATGACAGCAGGCTTGGAGCACGGTGCAACACCCCTTTGTGACAACTTCTGAGGCTGACTGCTTTCATTCGTCTGACCATCGTCTGGAAGAAGAGGGCCCAGTGAACCGGAAACTGAACCGGGTTTGCAGAGAAACACGGGAGCGTCGAGGTCATGCCTACCTAATACAGTCTTCGCAGGCAATCTGCTGTGTCCGATTTCAGGTCACCTGAGCTGTAGCTCCTTTCTTCTCTCTCAGCCTCAGGCCCAAGAGGAACTACAGCCCAGGGACTCTCCTGCCACATAGACTGGCCTCAGCGCTCACGGTGAGGGTGGCGGTCGGGGAGCACGATGCACAGGGTTGAGCTGCGGTGATGAAGTAAGCTGTGACGTCAGGCCACGATGGGAGCAAGCAGCAGTATTGGTTGAGGGACCCGTAGCCAGGGAGTGACTCATGGAACCGGTAAACTTCCCTGCAGAATCCCAGAAATGAGTAGGGAGAACCTGGTAAAAGACTATCCTCCCCGAAGACACATGAGTTGGGTATAAAAGGAAAACGTGACCTCACCGGCTGATGAGATTTGGGACATTTAAGCTCCTCTGGGTTCTGGGTTCTATGCCATCGATTGTAGGCTCAAACCACCACGCTTCAAATGTCACCGGTTCATGATGTATTTTAACATCCAGGAAGACTAGTTTCCCCCACGTTTTCCCTCATCCTCTTTTTAAAAATCACTGCCTCATTTTCCTTCCCGCAAAAACTCTCTCTCCACCAGGAGAGAGAAGAAGGAAAGGGAAGTCACAGTCCCTGCAGTGGCTCATGGCACTAAGGCCTCACAATAGTTTGAAAAATTATACTGTGAACGCAAGCTCACAGTTTCGATGTGAAGGTGTAGCTGCCTGATGCCGAAAACAGGGACAAACAGGGCGGGGTGCGCAGGGCACCGGCCGGGGCGTCATGCTGGCGCGGACAGGAGGCTCCCTGGAGAGCTCACTTCACCCGGACCCTGGCCACCCCACCTTCTGCACCGGTTTCTTCTCTCAGTTTCACTCCCTCCTCAATGCCCGGGGACCGGGCTTTCTTTGCTCGGTGTGTGACAGCACAAAACGGGAAGTGTTCTCTCCAGAGCTGGTTCTAGAGCTGTTTGGAAGCAGGCCGACTTTCGGCAGCCCTCCTTCAAGAAGGGGTCCTGCCTCCCTTCTGGAGCACCGTTCTCCGGGGCTGAGGTCCTTGTTCCCACCTGCTCTCCTGAGAGGTCTGCTTTCAGGGCGGCAGACTTTGGTTTTCACAGAAGCCAGGCTGTGGGCCACCTCCAGCTTCTACACTACGTGCAGCTCAAGAATGCGTTCCCTTGTGTCCCAAGGACTTCAGGTGTCCCAGAGTCTCTGAAATCAGCACGAGTAAGTGGCTGACTTTGCACTTCAACTCAAGAGGGCGAGGAACCACTTGTAATATAATAAACCTTATACTTTTTCCCAACAGTCTTAGTCTTTGTTATGTTCCTCTATCTTCACTGACCCGTGCTCAGCTAACAAAGGTGGGCCAAGCAGGTGTGGACGCGCTGAGAGCTGACTCAGCGGAGGGGCTGTGGGGAGAGCCCTCTGCTCGGAGGACAGGGGGACAGGCCTTGGCTTAGCAGCTGATCACTCCTGAGTCAAGTCTCTTCCCTTTCTGGGCCCAGCTTCCTGTCCTACGCCAATACCTCTTCATTGACTTAAAAAAAAAAAAAAAGCCCAGGAGGGTCCCCTCTGATTCTGAATACAGAGTCTCTGTTATGCTCTTGTCTGGATAACACACCTTATTGACTCTATGATGTAACTCAGGAATGAAGAAGAAAGTAAAACTTATGGTTAAGAACAAACAGCTCAGCCCCGGCCGGTTTGGCTCTGTGGTTAGAGTCTGCACACTGAAGTGTTGCAGGTTTGATTTCCAGTCAAGGGCACATACCTGGGTTGCAGGTTCGATTCCTGGCCTGGTTGGGGTGCATGCAGGAGGCAACCAATCAATGTGTCCCTTTCATATCGATGTTTCTCTTTCCCTCCGCCCCCCTCCCTCCCTCCCTATCTAAAAATCAATGGAAAATGCATGTAGTGATGATTTTAAAAAAAAGAACAGAACAGAACAGAAAGCTCACACAGCAGGAAGCTGACAGAAAGCTCTGAGACAGCGTGAGGACAGCGTGAGGACAGTGTGGGGACAGTGTGGGGACAGCATGAGGACAGTGTGGGGACAGCATGAGGACAGTGTGGGGACAGTGTGGGGACAGCATGGGGACAGCGTGAGGACAGCGTGGGGACAGCGTGGGGACAGCGTGGGGACAGTGTGAGGACAGCATGAGGACAGTGTGGGGACAGTGTGAGGACAGTGTGGGGACAGCATGGGGACAGCGTGGGGATAGCGTGGGGACAGCGTGGGGACAGCGTGAGGACAGTGTGGGGACAGTGTGGGGACAGCGTGGGGTCAGTGTGGGGACAGTGTGGGGACAGTGTGAGGACAGTGTGGGGACAGTGGGAGGACAGTGTGGGGACAGCATGGGGACAGTGTGGGGACAGTGTGAGGACAGCCGCGCTCCGGGTCTCTCCCAGCTGCGTCCTCTGCCCGGAGCAGGGGTCTGCGCTGCCCGTGTGCTCTTGCTGCAGCACACGGTCCGAGAGGACCCTCCTTGGACGTGGGGCCCACGGGCACCTGTCGTCCATGTCCAGAGCCTGCAGGTTGCACTCGGGGACTCTGGCCAGCTCGGCGATGATGTCACTGAAGCCGGCAGCCGCGGCCATGTGCACGCACGTCCTCCCGCTCTCGTCGTCACAGTTGATGATGGACGGGGCCCGGTGGTGGCTCAGGATGATGGCGCACAGGACCCTGCTTCCGCTCTGGAAAACAGGAAGGGCAGCACGTGACGGACAAGCCCGTGGCTCCCAGCCTGTGGCTCCCGGTCCGTCCAGAGGAAGCCACAGCAGGACAGCTCCGGAGGAGGAAAACTAGATACATTGTATCAGATCTGCCACCTCTGCAGACGGGTGTCCTGTGCAGCCAAGTTGTCTCCCAGAACCAGGGACCAAGGAGGACTTAGATTAATTAACTGACAGACAGCAGGGCCGGAGGGAAGGTCGGGCCACCCAGACGACGACTTGCTCATCAAACCTATTTACTCACCGTGGTGCACAAACTTGGCCCCAGAGCCGCGATTTCCAGCTGCTGCCATGAGTTTGCAGACATGCACCCCCTGACTGTTTAGTCGGGGGCACTGACCTCTTTCCCCTCAGGTGGGCACATAAAAAATGACGGCAGCCAACACAGCAACAGCTGTCTAGTGTGACCGAATCAGAATTATATCTGTTTTTATTTTCTTTTTGGTCAGATCGGCCAAAAAAGACATCTTTTTGTGTGCTGCGGATTTTAGTGATTCCCTGCTGTGCGGTGAGACAAAAGAGGTTGAAAATCGCAGCCGAGAACCCAGCCGAGTGCATTTTAACGTTAACGAAACGAGGAGATGAGTACTGACTGGTGGCCTCCTGAGGCCCGAGTGGTCCTCAGCAGTCACACTGCTACACATGGCATGAAATGTAATCACTGGAAAACCCCTGTGAAAGAAGGTGGACCACGAAACCAAGCAGCGAATCGTGAAGAAACAGAGCCAACAAGGGGAGAAGGAAAGAGTTGGTCACGTCTCCGTGGGTCGTGTTCTGTGCGGGTCCATGACGGCCTCCTACCTTGTTTTAAACCCTCAGTGGAGTATATGTTTTGCTTCTTTAAAAATCGGTTTGAGAGAGAGAGAGAGAGAGAGAGAGAGAGAGAGAGAGAGAGAGAGATTGGTTGCCTCCTGTAAGAGCCCTGGGATCAAACCTGCAACCTGGGTATGTGCCCTCACGGAGAATCAAACCTGCCACCTTCGGTGCACAGGACGACGCTCCAACCCCTGAGCCACACGGGCCGGGCCGGGCCTCTTCCCGTCCATCCAGAGGGAGGCTCTTCTGCCCTGAGGTCAGCGGCCCGCCCACCGGCTCCTCCGCAGCTTGAAGGAGCAGATGCCAGGCCTGGCGCCGGGTCAAATATCAAGCATCAGACTGAAAAATCAAGCACAGCAAAGCACCTGTATTTAAGGTGCTACTAAACCCTCCCTGGCCAGTGAGAGAGGTCCTAGGTTCATGTTTCACCAGGGACATCTTCGCTTGCAGATGCTTCCTGATATCTGTGGACAGACAATTCACATCATTCACTAGCGTTTTCATTTTCTCAACGAGTTCATGGCGAGGCCCTGTCACTGTGCACAGGGTCCTGTGGGAGAACGCAGGTCCCCAGGAGGCATGACGAGCTGGCAGGAACTGGAGCCGCCACAGGGCGGGGAGCCGGGCGGGCCGGGCGCAGGGAGAGACGGCAGCTGGTGTTGAAAGCTGCGGCTCTGGTCACACTGCGCAGGCGCCGGAGGGTAACCTTGGCTTCCTGCTGCGTTCTTCCCGCCGTCGGTGTGTCTGGGCCTGGGCCGTGGGTGAGAACCTGGTCACTGGCACAGCTCCGTGGAACAGCACAGGCCTTCCGCTGGCCCTTCCTCTGGTCCAGCGCAGTCTGAGTGATCCCGGCTCTCCACAGGCCCGTTACTCACAGGGCCTGGCACCCTGCGCCCGCGGTGTGCTTCCGGGGTCTCGGGGACAGTGGCTGACGCCCAGTCGGAAGCCTCTTGCTGGCCAAGGGCCGGGCACTCGACGCTGTCCATTCTGAGCCCACAGTTTGTGGGGTCCGGGGCAGACTGAAAACGCGGAGCTCCTGTTCACACGGCAGGAAACGCCCTCCAACTTCACGCGGTCTCGTCCCGCCTTCCACAGCGGCTTTTATTTATTTTTATCCTCACCCGAGGACATTTTTCCATTTTTTTGTTCAGGTCGAGTGGGAGGGAGAGAGAGGAACAGAAAGAGAGAGAGACAGAAAAAAACATCGATGTGAAAGGGACGCATCGAGTGGTTGCCACCCGCACGACCAACCAGGGCCGGGGACAAACTGCAACCGAGGTACATGCCCTTAGCGGGAACTGAACCCGGGTCTCCCTGGACCGCAGGCCGATGCTCCCACTGCTGAGCCAAACCGGCCAGGGTCTCACAGCGGCTTTTATGTGCTGTGGGGTATCGCGCTCCTCGGGCTGGGGGGCATCACCACAGCACAGACCCTCAGAGGCGCCCGCCCCATCTTGTCTGGTGACTTGGCTCATGGTTGATCTGGACCCCCGGTCTGTGCCAGGGCGGCAGGGAGGCGGGACTGTGCGCCGAGGCTTCGTGGTCCGATCCGACTTTGCTCACAGAACACACATGCGAGGTGTCATTATACTGACGAAAATGTCCAGACGGCAACCACAGAGCAGCACAGCCCAGGCTCGGGGCTCCCTTGTACGCGTGGGGCGTGTGGGGGCCGCACTGGCCGATGCCCACGAAGCGGTCCCTGCCCCAGGGTCTCCTCCTCTCACACCCTCCGCCCTCCAGCCGTCCTTCCTCTCGCGGTGACCTTGACATAACTGGGTCAAGGTGACGGCTCACTGAACACACCTAAGCGTCCAGGGAGGCTTCACCCACTTCTCTGAGATTCTTCTGCCGGATGTCGCTGAAACACATTGTCCTGATGTCTAAAATACACCGAAAACAACCGAGATGCCCCTCCCAAATCCTTCAAAGAGGACTGGCCATGGGGAAGGAAAACAGAAGCAAAAAGAGGCGCGGCTCCTTGCCTTCCCTGTCTGCGTCCCTGCTTCGGGGAGGGGCGCAGGAATCCCGGTGGCCGAGGCGCGGGGCCGCAGCTCCCAGCCCTGACTGAAGGACAGAGCCTGCTCCCCGAAAGCCCTCCCTCCTCCCCTGACCCTGCAAGAGGCAGAGTGCCCGGGGGGCTGCTGCCCAGGACCCCTCGGGAGCTGGGGCACCCCTGGGGTGGGCGCCGAGGCAGGTCTCTTCTTGCTCCTGTGCTGTTTGCGAGGCTCACCCAGGAGCTTTCTGCCCAAGGCCTCTCGTTCCAGAGACACAATGTCTCTGTGTCTGTCTCCCGGCGCCCCTCCTCAGATCCGGTTCAACTAGCTGCGCAGGTCGCGGCGCATCACTACTTCTCTGGACTAGTGCAGACACTCTCACCCCTATCCTCCCTCCACGATGCCTTCTGTTCTGAATTCTGCCCCTTTGCCCCTCCACCTTTGGGGTGGTCACGGGTCTGCAGTGCGGAACTAGACAGAGCTGTGGACTCCTTGCTCAGAGAAATGTGTGCTGCCCACGCCCACGCCCACACACAGTGACCCACACTGCCGCAGGGCCCCCACAGGGGTCTGGCCGGGCCACCTGCTACTCCGACGCAAATACTCGCAAGGTGCCCAAGAAGCATCACTCAGTGATTGAGTAAACGGACGAGCGGAGTGCAACACCCACACAAAATCACGGTCCACATGCAAGGTCCGCGTGGGTCCAGAAAAGGCTCAGTGCCTCCTGCTATGAATCCATGGGTCACAGCGGTGCCCCAGCTGCACAGCACCTCTCCTGGGGGAGGGGAAGCGTTAAAACAATCTCCGTGCCCGGGCTCCACCCTGAACCACAGATCGAAACTCTGAGGGTGCGGGGCCTGGGTTTCAGGACTTTGCACACTCGCCCACTGATTCCAAGGAGCAAACAGGACCGACGTCGATGGAGTTGGTTAGAAGCACTGAAAGTGTTTGGGGCCGGTGGAGGCGACTAAAACCAGCCTGGTTCAGCTCACAGTGTGCCCAGAGTTGGCACAGAATGACAGCAGCCACGGTTGGAGGGCCAAAAATAGAGCAGTTTCTAAATCACTGGTCTCCCCCGACCTCAGCCACATATTTCAGCCCTGAAAGTACCAGGTGCCCGTGTGTGGTACATGAAAACACCTGAGTGCCACCCCTGTGGGTGGGCAGAGGCTCCTCTGATAAGCAGCTGCAGCTGCTCAGCACGGTGCCCTTCCCGGCTGACGGGAGTTACAGGGGGTCCATGTGCGGCGCCGGGAGACAGGCGGCTGGCAGGCCTACCGAAAGGCGCCCAGTGCCACTGTCTGCCAGGGACGGAAGGGGTAGCTCCTGCCTGGTCATCCCCTTGTGAAGAGAGACGTTCAGTCCTCGCCACCCGCTGCTCTTCCTTCTCTTTGTTTCCAGTTTCTGCTCTGGGACGGCCTCTGGGGCCGCTCTGACTTCGTGGCTGTGTTCTGATGCAGAGCCCCTGGGAGGGTGACGCGGGGACACGACCATTCAGTATGGAATTCAGGGTCACCGGAGGGCTCTGCTTTGGAGGGTTCAAAAAGAAGAAGGGAGTCGTGGTCCAAAGATTTGAAGGGGCATTCTTAGTAAATCTTTGAAGGTTTGTCTTGGTGTGCAGTGAGCCGTGGTGAGCAGAGAGAGAGCGAGGGGTGTGTGTCTGTGACTGTGTGTCTGTGTGTGAGTGCATATGTGTGTGTGTGTGACCGTGTGTGTTAATGTGTTTGATTATGTGTTAGTGTTTGTGTGTAAGTGAGTGTGTGTGACTGTGTGTGAGTGTTAGTGTATGGGAGTGAGTGTGTGTGTGAAGGTGTGTGAGTGTGACGGTGAGTGTTAGTGTGTGACTGTGTGTTAGTGTGTGTAAGTGTGAGTGTTAGTGTGTATGTGTGTGTTAGTGTGAGTGTGTGTTAGTATGTATGAGTGAGTGTATGAGTGTAAGTGTGTGAGTGTGTAAGTGTGTGTGAGTGGGTGACTGCATGAATGTGAGTGGGTTAGGGTGCGTGACTCTGAGTGTGTGAGTGTGTGGCTGTGTGAGTGTGTGTGACTGTGTGTGAGTGTTACTGTGTGTGTGAGTGTGTGTGTGTGAGTGTGAGTGTGTGAGTGAGTGTGAGTGAGTGAATGTGAGTGAGTGAGTGTGTGAGTGAGTTGAGTGTGTGAGTGAGTGTGAGTGTGTGAGTGAGTGTGGGTGAGTGAGTGTGGGTGAGTGTGTGTGAGTGTGTGTGAGTGAGTGTGAGTGAATGAGTGTGGGTGAGTGTGAGTGTGTGAGTGAGTGTGAGTGTGTGTGAGTGAGTGTGTGAGCAACTGTGAGTGTGTGAGTGTGCGAGTGAGTGTGTGAGTGTGAGTGAGTGAGTGTGAGTGTGACAGCCAAGGCAGGTTCTGCCCGGTGGTCTGTAGCTCTGCCCTCGGAGTCTGGGCAGGGTTTCCTCTCAACAATGGATGTCCCCAGATCCCCCGAAGTGACTGGTTGGCTCTGCCCCAGCCCTGAGTGGAAGGGGGACACTGTGACCCGAACTTCCTCACACAGGAAACCCACGTCAGTGTTCAGGCTGCACCTTTGGTCACCCCACCCCCAGGCCTGGTACCCCCAGGGCGCTGTTCACGAGCCCTACCTGGACTGCCCAGTGCAGAGCCGTCTTGAAGTCTTTGTCCACAAGGGTGGGGTCTGCCCCCTTCTTCAGCAGCATCTGGGTGTGTTGAGGCCGGTTGTGGAAAGCAGCCCAGTGCAGGGGTGTCATTCCCTACGAAACCAAATCAGAGGGCAGAGATGAGCACGGGCTCCCCGGGAGGAAGCCGAGTCCACCCTTCCTCCCCGGGCCAGAGGCACCAGCTGACGTGCTGGTGGCTGCCTGTCGTCCCTCCATTCTCCAGATCGCCCGCTGGGCACACCTTCACTGAGCTCCGCTCTGCGGAGGACGCGGCAGGGGATCACCCGCTGGGCACACCTTCACTGAGCTCCGCTCTGCGGAGGACGCGGCAGGGGATCAGAGGAACAAGATCCCTGCCCTCGTGGGAAGGGTAGTGGGGGGAGGACCACAGACAGCAAAGGCACGCACATGAGCCAAGGGCGTTTTCAGATTGTTGAATACTACAGAGAACGACAGATTGCCGAACAGGAGCAACCCCGGGGCAGGGCCGTGACGAGGGCCTCTGCGCCCCGGGTGGGGACGAGGACAGCAAGCGGCGGTTCCCGGAGGCAGGCTGGGACGCGGTGCCCACCAGTAGGCAGCGCACTGCCTGTTTTCCTGTAGGACCCGGTTTCTACAGCTGAGACAGGGAAAGAGCAGAGGATCGTGAATGAGCACACGGATACACGCAGGGATGAGGCGGGGAGGGCCGCCGGGTGTGCGGCTGGAGCAGGAGGCAGAGGCCGGTCCTGGGACTGTGGGCTGGGGGATGCCGACCCTGCGTAAGGGGTCTGGGTTGCAGTCCCAGGTTGTGGGGACAGTGCCGGGTCTTAAGCGGACGTTGACAGGACCGGACCGGCGCAGCTGGGGAGCCAGCACTGCGCGGCAGCTTGGAGAACTGATGCGGATGAGTCAGCCTGGTGAATCCTGGTTTCTCTCAGAGTTTAAGGTCATATTCTTGAGGCATCATTTAATAAGAAAGTGAACTCGCGATGGCCCTCTCCTCGCCCACGCCTCTCGAGTACGTGAAATTTTTCTGCAATGACTGGATGACAGCAAGTGGGGCAAAGGGCACGGCCGGCCTAAAGCTTCTCCCGCAGTCACCTCTGCAGATGATGCATAGACAGGATCGCTCCCCCGCCTTCGCTCCCCCACAGGAGCCGAGTGGGACAGGGGCCCAGCCTCGGTGGGAGGGTGGGATGGACACCCCAAGGCTCATGTTGTTGAGCTGAGACTGAGTTTTCCTGGGTATTATCTTACTCTCCAGAGGACCTTCTGATGAAGCACTGTGGTGAAGCCTGCCACCTGTTCACAGATCCATTTTCTCCTTCCCCGGGACACAGACACACGCCCCAGCCTCCCCGCAGGTGTGGCATGAGATGGGTCCAGACCCTGCCACCTGACCACAGCCATGTGACCACTGCAATGACGCCCTCCAGGCCTGCCCAGAGCACAATGCCCACGTGGCCCCACATGCAGCTCTCTGTCATCTGACTACTGAACACTGGGGAGAACCGGCTGAGAGCATGCTGGACCCCGCGACCGAAGAGCCGGCGGCCCCATCGATCAGGTAGGACGGGGCCGTCTGGTCAGCTCGGTTGGCTCTGGGACGAGCGGGATGTGAGCTCCGCCGCTGCCCAGCGCCGGCAGGTGCCCCTCTGCCTCTCGATTCACGGAAGAGGAAGCGGAGGTCCCGAGAAGTCCCCGCGTTCGTGGGTGAGCAGGGAACTGAATCTAGTGCTGAGGTCGGGGTGCTGGGGGAGCGTGAAGTCCCCTCCGCCAGTTCCATATTCCACCTCGGCTCCTTACGGTCGGCTTCCAGTTCCCAGTTCCAGCCGTCTGACACTGAGCCCCCGGAGAGACTCGAGGATTTTCCCAGAAACTGGCTCCATACGGACAGGACACTGGTGTGAACGCGGAGGCACTTCCTGTGCTCATTGCCACCGCTGGGCATCTGCCACGATGCAGAATAGCCCGGGCACTTCAGCGGGTCCCCTTCACTGTCACGCTGGCCCGGCCGGAGCCAGAGATCCGGACTCGGGGGAGTCTTGTTCTTTTCACTACGTGGATTTCTTGTTTCTCGTACTGGGCCCCATTGGCTTCCGCCACTGGCCTCGTGATGAAATGCCGCCAGGGCCCAGGATTACAGACGCCGAGGGGATGTGGCTTCGGTGGAGTGTAAGCCTCCTGCCGGCACCCCCGGAGCCCGGCGCAGGGCTGGGCGCACTGTCCCTGTAAATAAATACCCGGCAAAGAAACGGCCATCTCACTGTCCTGGGGGATGTCTGGCTTTCGTGAAATCAGGCTGTTTTAAAACTCGGACACGAGGGAGAGCAAGGCGGGGCACGACTCCTCTGCAGGACTGGACCTGGGTGGCGGGCTCTTTGTCACCAGCTATCCAGGACCCTGCCGGCCTTTGCTGCGCCCTCCCAGCGAGCCAGCGCGCTCCCGCGTGCGGAGACGGGCTCCGGGTGGGAGAATTCCGCGCGAAAGCCTGGTTGTGAGTTAAACTGCGATTAGTTTAAGTATAATCTGTGAATCCCCTTAAAACCACATCCCACCACCTACAAACAACAAACAAACAAACCAGCTCCCGCGTGCTCCAGGACAGGGGTGCGGTGAGTGTGACCACCTTCCCAACCCCTACTCGGTGCCAAGAGCTTTTCAGGTTCCTTCTCCAAATCTTTACGAGGACCACAACCCGCCCCAGGTGTTCCCGCCCCAGGTGTCCCCCACCAGGTGGTTGCAGGTGAGGAGCTGAGACACAGACAGGCGACGGTCGGCCTGAGGTCACTGGTCCTGTGGCAGCGGGACCCCCGTCCGGGCCCCTCCACCGCTCCTCCCACACATTGCGCCCCTCAAGCCCCCGTTTGGAGAAGAGCTCAGATGCTGGACAGTTCTTCTCTTTGTGACCTCAGCTGGATTTGGGGTCTTCTCCCTTTCTAGAAAGGTGGTTCTCACCAGTATAACGGATATCACCATACACTATTATTTGTTTCATTTGTCATCACCTCTGGCCCCTCCTCAAAGGGCAGCCGGCAAATACTGATTTTTTTGTAAGGCGTTGAAATATATAATATTCCGCCCCTCCCCCCAGGGATTTGAGTCACTCTTAGAAGTAACCATTGACCCTGTAAATGGCCCCAAATTAAGGGCTGAATCACTCCATTAGTTCTCTCAATGATAATATATATTATAGCACATACAATGCGTATTCTACATAAACACTCTGTCTATTTATATCCCAATATAAGCAGGTTGCAAAACATTTATTTCAGTCAGGCCGAGGGACACTTCCTCTTGCTATTTTTTTCAATCAGGCTAACGAGAAATAAAAATAAGAATCCTCTTCGAGTTGGCAATACGAAAACCAAAGGTTGCAACACCAGCTCCGGCCTGGCGCTTGGCGTGATTGCGCAACACGCGCCGTTCAGGAACTCTCCCCCCAGCGGCCTCCCCCTGCTCTGCCCGTGGACACCCTACTGGCCATTCCCGCGGCGGGGCCCAGGCTTGGCGACAGCAGGTGCGTTGAGCAGGGACAGAGGCTGCGGTCGCGCGTGGCCCCCAGCACGCAGGGTGCTCCAGGGAAGCTCCCAGAGGAGCGACTTAGTGAGTTGCAGGTGTCAGGGCTCCCTGGGCCCCGTGGGGAGGATCCGTGTCCACGCCGCGGGGACTTTCCTACCGATGGCTCTCTGGACTTGCACTGTGGGCTCAGGGGCCGTGGGCTCAGGGCCTACCCATCCAGCGCTGGTGGGTGGAGAATTCCAGCTTTTGGAAAAACGAAAAGTATCGGTTCAAGGAACGAAGAGCCACCCCCACTCGGTCAGGAAGGAGGTCTCCAGGGTGTGGGGGACGTGTGAGTTTCAGTGGACTCACGACCTGCTCGGAGAGTGCCCAGGACTGTGTGCTCTTGGAAAAACGAAAAGTATCGGTTCAAGGAACGAAGAGCCACCCCCACTCGGTCAGGAAGGAGGTCTCCAGGGTGTGGGGGACGTGTGAGTTTCAGTGGACTCACGACCTGCTCGGAGAGTGCCCAGGACTGTGTGCTCTTGGTCACGCGGGGCCACTTCGTGGCCACGCTGCAGGGAGATGAGGCCTCTGTGCCCTGGGCCGGTGCCACCGGATTTCAGCTAACGGCTTAGGAGTCCTGGCGCGTCTTAGCCCCACCCCCAAACCACCGTAGCTTTGTGGTTTCCGACCCAGAAATCTGACCCAGTACCGAGCAGCTGTCGGGCCCTGGGGCGGACTCAGAGCAGGTGGCCGGCAGGCCCCCAAGCGACCCGGGGGGTTCAGCGTCCCCGCAGGTCCAGCTGGGTGGGCGGGCCTTGCAGAATCCACACACCTTTCACCTCCCACGCATTTGACTGCCCCTCGCAGAAGCTATGAAGGGTTTGCTGTAGACAAAACATGGGCGTGAATGATGTACGTTAAAATATTTTAAAAGAAGCATTTAGAAGAGCAGCAATGAATGCCATTTTCTTATCATTATAGATTTGGAAAAAGTCTCATAATTACCAATGACAAAGATTAGCGGATTCATTCATTGTCTTTGTTCTGCAGGTTTCTAATCTAGATGAACAGTGCGTGTCCCAGTGGCCAAAGATCAGACCTGAAGACTGAAAGCAACCTGAGGATGGAGTCTGGGGCACTAGGGATGGCCACGAATAAGGGGACACTTTAAACACTGTCACCTTAGCCCGGCCGGTGCGGCTCAGCGGGTGAGCATCGTCCCTGCACCAAGAGGTCGCCAGTTTGATACCCGGTCAGGGCACATGCCCAGGTTGTGGGCCCGATCCCCAGTGGGGGGCATGCACGAGGCCGCCAGTCGATGTTCTCTCTCATCAATGTTTCTATCTCTCCCTCTCCCTTCCTCTCTCTCTAAGATCAATAAAGAAAAAAAATAAAAAACAAAACAAAACTCTCCCTTTCTCCCTATAGTCATGACAAAAATAATGCATCTGACAAAAAAACGAAAAACCTTTAGAATGAAGATTTTCTAAAGTTAAATGAGACATTCATGCAAGAGGAACAATACGAATGAACTTAGGTCACGAAGGACAAGAGCAAACAGGAACACACGGATGAAACAGCCTTCCACGCAGGAGCTACATTTA